CCCCCGCGCGCCATATTTGGAACGAACGATCGGCCATCGGTGATAGGCCCTGTGGGGAAACTGCTCCGTGTTTTCGAGCACAGGTGGTCAATGGCCTAAACGCTGAAGCATGGAAAACATGGAAGTACGCCTGCCCCCGCCGAAGCATGAAAAGCATGAGTCCGTCCCCCCTCCCCCCGCGGTGGCTGAACAACGCAAAGCAGACATACTACAACGAAGCGGAGGCGAGAGACGTCTGCGTGCCGCTCCTGGGTGCCGTCGAGTACGTCCACAGCCAAGGCATCGTGTGAGACAGACATGAGAAAAACATGTGCATACGCGGCGGTTTGGTCGTTCGGTACTCGCTCGAGTGGGCGTTCCCCTTTTGTACCCCGTCCTTTTGAGTTTTTTTCCCGCCGTCGGTGAGAGAGAAGGTTAAGGGTAGCGAGACCAATGGCGTGTGAGCCACCGGCCAGGGGTCAGGGCACTGAACACTCGGGAGCAAAGGGGCATGTTTTTGAGAGCAGCAGCGAGTGGTTGGGACAGCACAGCCCTCTGGCTGCACCAATTGACGACCCCGATTCCCCGCTTGCCCCCCCGTTATCCCGTTGCTGCACACACCGCGATCTGTTGCGAAGCTAGATCTCTTGTCGGCGGCTGCAGCACCGTTAACGACCTCTATTCCCCACTTGCCCATTACGCTGCGGCCCCCCGTTGCCGCAGACACCGGGACCTGAAGCCCGAGAACTTGCTGCTGGCCTCCGCCAACGATGCCACCAGCATTAAGCTGGCCGACTTCGGGTTCGCCGCTAGCATCCGTGACGGCGACCTGTTGAACGGGTGCGGTACACCTTACTACGTCGCGCCGGAGATGCTCAAGAACGTCCCCTACGGCACGGTGAGTCGTCGTCGTCGTCGTCGTCGTATTCGAAAGCCGTGTATNGCTGGCCTCCGCCAACGATGCCACCAGCATTAAGCTGGCCGACTTCGGGTTCGCCGCTAGCATCCGTGACGGCGACCTGTTGAACGGGTGCGGTACACCTTACTACGTCGCGCCGGAGATGCTCAAGAACGTCCCCTACGGCACGGTGAGTCGTCGTCGTCGTCGTCGTCGTATTCGAAAGCCGTGTATTGCTGCTGCTACTGCTGCTGCTGCTGCTGCTGCTGCTGCTGCTGCTGCTGCTGCTGCTGCTGCTGCTGCTACTGCTACTGCTCCCTGCCTGTGCGTCGCCGCCGCTGCTGCTGCTCGCTATCCTTGTTGCCTCCTTTTGCCTCTCTGGACAAAGTGGGTGGCCCCGTTCTCCTCCCGGGTCTCGGGCGTCCCACCACCACCTGCAGTATGAAATACTTACCAAGGACTGCGGTCTAGGTGCTCCCGTCGATCACACCGCACGCTATGCGTGTATTTGCCGCTTCTTTTCTCGGCGGGTGTGCGGGCACCAGCGTTCGGACACCTGCCATCCTGAACTCCCGTAGCCCCTCCCCTCTCAGAAGTGCTTGGATTCACGCGAAAGCAACAACGCCTCCCGCCGGCATCAACCACGCTCCGCGTGCTTGCCTCAAACGCTTGCGATATTTTGTTTTTTTGCTGTGGGCCACCTGTCGTGGCGGTTGCAGCACAATCTAATTACGTCCGCCGAGTTGTGAATGTAAGACGCACATATATCCTCTGCCGAACCGATTCCATTCCCGTGCCCCCCTCCTGAAAAATCGCTATTGTTCCTGGCTGTCCGCCACAGTCGGTGGACATGTGGAGCATCGGCGTGATCATCTTCGTCCTGCTAGTCGGCAGGCTGCCGTTCCATGACAAGGACCAGCTGGAGATGTTCCGAAAGATCAAACGCGGGGCCTACGCGTTTAACGACGAGATTTCTGACGATGCTAAGGTCAGCGAGGAGGCGCTCTTTCTTTTTGTTTTCTTTTCGCGCGAGTCGCCGCCGCCGCCACCGCCGGGGTGTGAGCGGCGCGTTCAGCTGGATATTTTTTCGCAAGCAAAAAAGCGGGAGTACGCGGGAAAGCGCAGGGTAGAGGGCGAAGCTCGGTTGGTGTGGGGTTCCCGAAAAGTGTGGCTTGGGTATAGCTTGAGCTCGCTGCCTTAGCTGGTGATAGGATCGCTGGGCGCTCTTCCTGGACCCGTGGGGGCGTTCGATGCTTTTGTACCGTTGTTTTCGTACGTCGTGATTTGTTGTTGTTGTTGTTGTTGTTTCTCTCATTAGCTCTACAGTCCACAAAAATGGAGAGCCCGTGGTCGCAAAAAACCGGCACATTCGACGCCGCGGGAAAACAAAAAAAGGATACAAAACACTCGGAAAAGAAAACGAAATGATTGAAAGAACAGAGCAGCTACCGCACCGGTCGAGGAAAAAGCCCTAGAAGACCGATCAAAATAAAATTGTTGGTTGTTGGTTCCTCCCACGAAGAAGCGGCGCGTGCTTCCGAAGCCTTAAGCAGGCTTGCGTTGCGCAATCGTTCGAGGAGAGTGACAAGCCCCTTAGGCGTAGAGTGGCACAAGTGTTTCCGTGTGTGTGCGCGTGTGTGCGCAACTCTTGGTGCTGCACTCGCTGCCTTTTTACCTGCGTTGTTCTCTCTTTCTACCTCTCCCTCTCCGTCTCTCTCTCTCGCTTCTTCCGTCTATGCCCCCCTCTCGCTCTCTCTTTGTTCTCTTCCCCTCCTTCTCTTGCATGCAGGACCTCATCGCCAAGCTGCTGACCGTCGATCCCGCCAAGCGCTTGACGGCGAGCGAGGCCTGCAAACACCCCTGGCTCACCACCGACGCCCCGAACCTGTCCTGCCACAACCTGAGCGCGCGCCTGGAGGACCTCAAGGTTTTCAACACAAAGCGGAAGCTGCGTGCTGCCGTCAAGACGGTGAGAAAAACTCCGGTTGGACTCCGCAAAGCCGGTGGGCCGGTGGCGGCGCCGTTCGTTTCAAGGAGTTCGTTAAAACTTTGGGAGGGGCGTGTTGGGGGGCATCGGTCGCATATCGGCGACCGAAACCATGACAGCAGCAGTACACACATAAGCCTGGTCGATCTGCCAGCGCGTGCGGGTCGGAAAAAGTTGATGGGAATGTGTTGTGTCCCCCTACTGGGGTACGTGAGAGTTGTTTAATACTCTCACAGCACTAGGTCTTGCTCGCCGTCCCGCGAGGTCTTGGGGTGTGCGCAGCTACTGCTACTGCTGTCGCTATCTCTAGATCGCGTCGCTTTGCTACCTAGCTGACTTTTTAGTCCCCACTGTCAGGCCGCGACCGCGACCAATCGCTTTGTCTGTCAGCAGCAGGTCACAGCATTTGCTCAACAGCACATCCTACCGTCCAAGCTAACCCCCCCCGCAACGATTGGCCATCGGTGATCGGTCCTGTGGGAGCAGTGCTCCGTCCTCTCGAAGGCATGCAAAACATGAGTACCCCATCCCCCTTTGTTTTGGGTCGCGGTGTCGCTTTCCTTTTTTTTTTTTATTCAGGTGGTGGCGATGAGCATATTTGCCAAGTATCTCGAAGCAGTGCAATGCCCGAGTGGGTGAGGGTCCCCATCCAGCCTAGCCCTCTCCTCCTAAACTCGATCGCGATAAAACCCCCGTGTGTGTGTGTGTGTGTGTGCGTGTTGCACCGCAACTTGCGCCGTTTCGAGTCGCCGCTGCGCGAGCGAGCGACGAGACTCGCCGCCGGTCTGTTTGAAACGAACGGTCCGGCGCGGGGGGTTGTATCGACGATGGTGACGTTAATATTGTGCAGCGGGCGGGGGGGTCCTGGGGCCAAAAGTGCGGGAGATCTCCCTAACACTCCGGCCTACCGTTTGTGGGGGGGGGGAGGATGGTTAGGGCATTTCGGAGGAGGGTACGGTTGAAGTTGTTCGATGTGGTTGAAGTGTCTGTCGTCATCCCGTTTTTTTTTGTTCCACTGCTCCTCGCTGCTAGACATGCTAGCTCTCGTTGGCTAAAGATGTCGGGTCTTGTAGATTAGGGCCCCGACACGACGGTCGTGGGGTTGTCATATTCCCTCATTTTGTTTCGTGACACGTTCCTCCCCTCCCCTACGTGTGTAGACTATGGTCACGGGCAAGCGCCGCGATTGTGTGTACAGCGTAGGCCGGGAAGCGTAGTGGCGGCGTAAACACAAATCGTCGAGATTCGTAACGGCTAGAGACCGTTATGGAGGCCACTAGATAGCTGCAGAGAGAGTGACGATGGTCGCCGGCGAATTTCATTCGTTGTTTCTTCACCTGGTTGACAAGAGGAGAGGGGGGTCGGATAGGTGACAGAGCTGTTCCTCGCGGGACCGGCTTGCGAATGGCGCTGCAGCGGGGGGCGGCATCGCAATTCAGAATCAAAGTGAGGAAGCGACGTGGTTTGTTGCAAAGCACCACCGCTATTTTCTGTCCAGTTGACCCTCGGCAAGTCAGTACACCCTCTTGGGAAGAGATGAGTTTGCATCCTTGTTGATAATGACAGTGGGGTCGGTGGTGGCCACCCGCCTCGTTTTCTGTTGGAAAGCGACATTCCACACCGCATCGGTGGGGTTCCACCCCGTGTTGCGGGGTGTATCCGGGACGGTTGGTACACCTACCGACATCAAGGCGGTAGGGCGCGAGGTGGACGGAGACAAAGAGAGAGAGGGAGTCAGACAGAGAGAGAGATTCAGCTAGAGAGTGTCAGCCAGAGAGAGAGACAGCGAAAGAGCGTCAGACAGAGGCAGAAAGAGACAGAGGCAGAGATACAGTCAGACAGTCAGTACAGTAGATTTTCGAGGTATTTTGTGTTTTGCCAAGTTCGCAGCCAAGGCTAACTTGTTCCTTCTTATTTTCGGTTTTGAGGGGACGTCTCGCTTCATGGCAGCACCCGACCCAAATGGCGTCGCCTGTTAAAAAAATAGTGCCTTTTCCCGCGTGAATGTGACGGCTGCCTGTGTTGTCGTTGTGGCTTGCGGTTGTTGATGTTCTTTGTGTCACCTCTTGTTGTTTCGCGACCAGCGACATCTCTGCGCTGACGATCGCCCGTTCAAAGGGTATCTGTGCTGGTCTGCCCTGCTTCTGATCGGGTTTCGTGGCGGTGCAGTATGCCGGCGGAGGTTTTTCGCCGAAGAATGCGAGCAGGCCTCGAGTGTTGTTTTCTTGCGGGGTGACACGGGAATGGCCCTTCCTGTCCGTTTACCCCGCCAGGCGAGCACCCAAGCTCGGGGGTGCTCTTTTGGTGATTTTTGTCGATTTTTGTTTTTTTTCCCGGATTTATTGGTTCGTGTTTAGGATGCCGCCCTCCGGTTGGTTCGCTTGGATTAGCTCGCTCGGTTTACTGCTGGATGTTCATCGCCTTACCGTCTTGGTCGGCAGCCGTTCGGTAGGCGAGGTGTGCAGTTTGACTTTTATTTTCGGAGAGGTTGTGTGTTCTTTTGTTCGTGTCTTTGTATACCAGAGACACGGGGAGGTTTTAAGATATTTGCACGTCTCCCCTGGGCGGTACCCCGCTCCCAGTTTTGCCATCGGGATTGGGTTTTCGTGGCTTGGCGACGACGTTGTAAAACAAGCCAATTCACTTCGTGAACTCGGCAACCAGGTTAACGGGGTTTTTTTTACCTCTGTTTTTTTTGGCGGTGACGATAATGGTGGTCGAGTAGATCATGTTGTGCGGGGTGGAGAA